AAAGAAACATTAGCACTTGGCACATGAGGGCATTGCCTTAGACTCCCACTCCAGGTGCAAGCAATAACCACAACTCCCCTCTCCCCCATGTACATTATGGACAGTCCCAGCACAAATCACTGAACACCACTGGCCACAATGCACTAGTTGCATTCACTCTATTTATGTGTGTTGGGGGGGGTTGCAGTACTTTGCACACAACTAAACATGGTGGCCTACCTCATAAACAAGTTTGATGTTTGCTTTAATCTCGGCAGAATCCTTCGTCAGCTTATCGCTCAAACTAAAATCAAGAAGAAATGGAGTCATAATATGGAGTGAAGTTAAATATTCATTTAAATACAGCTCAAACTCTGGTATCTGTGGACAACTTGGGGAATGTGGAATGATAATTTGAACCCTCTTTTTTTAATGGAGGGAAACAATCCTTTGCGTTTCACTCATACAGCTGACCTGAGCTACAGGTGAGAATACCACTCGGATCAACTGGGGGAGTTACATGTACCTTGACTGATTTCAAGCACTGTGCTTCGTCTTCACATGCATTAACTAGTACAAATCACATCAACAATTTTGGCATGGAAAAAATCTGAGCCAATGGGCATTCTTGTAGACAATATGACCTGATTCTATGTGATCTGTGCGTGTACATCTTTAGATTTTTTTAAAATATACCTCGTGAAAACTGCTCTTGGCTACAAGTCTCTCTCACATGACGTCATTTCTTACTGATTGCCATTTTTGACTTCAAATTTTCATAATGTGCATCAGCCATGTCGAGTTCTGAAAAAATTTGGATGAACATGCACGTGCGTATAAAACATCTGCACACCATTCGCACATGCACCTGTTTGCATTGTGCATGCAGTTGTAATTTTCCTACAAAGATGGCAGGCAATGAAAAGGATCTGCAGGAAAATAGAGTGAAATGCACAACCGACCTTGTCAAGTGTTTACACTTTTTGTCAATGAACTTCAGAGCCTCCGGCAGAGTAAATTCTACAAAGAACCCAAAGCCAACAAGCACATAGATTCTGCTTGCATCAGGCCTATCAGAGGAAAACAAGTGTATTTTTAGTTAGTTTAGTCAATTTGCCCAGCAAATGTCCATATTTTACTTGCAAAACTGTGATGTCTTCCTGATAAGAGACCTCAATCTGGCATCGATTTGTGCACATACACACACAAATTAGGCATGATAAATAGACTTCGGCACTGTATTGCCAGAAACAGCCTTGGCACTCTCATCAACTGCCTGGTTCTGCCTAAGCTTGATTACTATTGTATAATATGGGAAGGTCGATATAAACGTCACAATAATACACTACACAAATTGCTTAAAAGAGCGGCTAAACTGATTTTTGGGTGTCAATTTACCTCTTCATCAGCGGATATGTTTGCAGCCCTAAAATGGCTCTCTTTTTCAAAGAGGATAAATTGTAGGAAGGGTATTCTTGTTATTAAATGTTTAAACTCCATGGCTCCCAAGTACATTACAGATCTCTTTTGTTTTATTTTGCACAATACCAAGTCACTAGGCAAAATATAAATGCCACTCTAAAAGTGCCATTTGCTAAAACAGATTACTACTCTCAAAGTTTTGCAGTCGCTGGTGCAAAGATTTGGAATTCTCTTCCTGCCCAATTAAGAATGATACATTCCTTTCTTAATTTTAAGAAAGATCTTTTAAAATATTTTTCACAATGCTTAATTTTTCCATAATCTGTTAAGATTTTAGCATTTTACTTTTATTGGCTCTAAGTTTCCTTTGTTTGACTTCTTGTGTTCTTCCCGTGTACTGTTTCAATTATTTGTCATTTGTTAGTCCTTTTTATATGCTGTTACATTTCGATCTTGTCCGCGTAAGTTTCTGAATTGTTTTCTTTAGGTTACCTCTACACTGTGGTTTTGTTGATTGTTAATTCATTTTGAAAGAGTATGAATTTGCTCCTGTTTTCAACCCTGTTCCTAAGCTAACTGGCTTTTATTTTATCTTTTGTTTTAATTTCTATTTTAAATCTCTATTCTAGTTTAAGTTAAAAAAGTGTTGGTATGTTTAGAATGCAGGGCCCAATAAAAAACCAGCTGAGACTGTTTGGGCTACCCTGGATAAACAACGGAATAAATTAAAAATAAATTAATAAAAAGAACTCAATTCACTTCTTGACTTGTCATCTTTCTTTCTTGTATGATTCGCTCTCAACTCACACAGAGTACTTACACGTTTGCTTGCACATAAAAGTTACATCCCAAGTCAATTTTAGTCTTGAGAGTGTCCTTTGATAAATTGGCTTCCTGCAATGTAGTCAAAACAGAAGTTGGTCATGAAAACATAATTTAGAAATCTGTTTGTACATGTAGCCACGTAAATTAAGGTCAACCAACTCCTTAAGTTACTGGGGATGAAAAGTGGTTTCCTTGAGAAAAGCTATTTGGTTGCGATGTTCAAAGTGACCTTTTAATCACGCTATTGATGGGAAAAAAGCACTCTTCTTTTCATCACCCGGGGCTAAAGAAGGGTATTGCCCTTGAATTGAAATTCAACATGCCCAATACAACTTGCACATTTTGATAAAGGCTGTGAAAATTTCACTGAAATTCTACTCTTTTTTTTCATTTTGTATTTCCTAAAAAAAAATGATCTACATTAGCTTAACATTTTTTGTTTGGGGGAGTTCCTCAATTGTATTTCAATCACAACATACATTAAACGATGGTGAAACAAAATCTGCTTTCTGCTTCAACATGATGTGTCATGTACTTAAGTGCAGTTTTGCCACTGTATATGTATAAGGCCAAGAAAAAAATGGTGTTTCCATCTACCCTACCCAATCTAGAACATCAGGCAGAAGCCACCTGGATTGTATTTGGCAAATTAAAAAACCCACAGGGCAAGGGTTCCCCTCTGTTTTTCCATTTTCTCCGAATGATGCAATCTACATTCAGAATTGCATCTTGGCATGAACAGAAGAAAAGTCCTTTTCAGCTTGTTATGGTTGAGCTCTGAAGACAAATGACACTGTGTTCGATTTGGATGTTTCCAAGTTTATTTGAACAGACAAAATCAGAGAAAACACGTTTTCCTTAGAGGTGCTCGTTACGCTGGTCAGCAATGCTGTTTTGAGCTTGATGCACCACAAAGACATGATAGTGTAAAAAGCACAGAATGAACAAATCCCCTGCTCAATTTCAATATGCAAACAAAATACCCAACAAATTTGCATCAGGCGAGTATCCCCTATGAGTTTTGGAAGCCGAGTTGCTACTGGTTTGTTAGCCTTGGTTCAAGGCATTGGTCACTAGCCACACAGCACTGCAAACATACATGAGCACAACACAGATTGTGGATAGTTAGTGCCGTGGGCTAATGACCACTCGACGAAGTCTACTGGTTGGTTGACCTTATTCCACTTGATGATTGAGACCTCATTGCCCAGTGAGTATTGTGCACATAAATGCTTAATTTGGCACTGAAATAAACATGGAGGACAGTGGCACAATCACGATCTCCATGTATCTCAATGGTAGCATTTACAAAAAGTACAAATGTTTATTGTAAAATAACTTTTTAAAGGTGTTGTTCATACACTGAAGGCCAATTTAACTTTTTTGCATTTTTTCCAATTTCCGTGTTTGTATTATGCCACTTTGTGTGCAGTCTAAAACATGGCAGATGGAATAGGGACAATACCCTGTACTTTATTTCTCCATATCAAAGAAAGACATACAACGGTAACACAACATTGCTAGTTTTCATGATCAAACAAATAGGGTTGTGCTGATTGGAATGATTGGATCTGCAATTAAATGGAAGGTTAGCTAATCAAATCATCAATTATTAAAATTGACTATTATTAAAATTGATGAGGCCACTTCATTACGATGTTTTCCTTGTGCTCATGATGCCAGATAATAGACTTTAATCATGGGGCCGGCCATATTGAATTTGAAAGTGAGGTTTACTCTTCATTTTTGATTGTTGAGAGCACAAATGAAAGCAATAAAATGAAATGTCATCACAAATTTGCATCTGTATACTCAGATGAATAATTTCAAATTCATGATTAAATACACAGAAATGTACCTTGCCAGATTTTGAAAATTACTGAAAGGGAGGCTTGGAACACACAAACATTAAAAACATTCTGGTGCTTATTGGGTAATAAGATCAAAAATGGCCTCAACGTGAATAGGGTATGTTACCAACATGCTGATAAACCCCACAAGCCGGTTTTGCAATACGCCACTCCAATGAGTGAAAGATGTACAAACGTGGCCCCAGGAGAATTTCCAATAAACTGAATGGGAGTTTCAAATTTTCATTACACCGATTCTACAAGAATTGCACTGGTTGCCTGTTAAGTTCAGAATCATTTACAGGATGCTTTTATTTATCTATAAGTCCCTCCACAGTCTTGCTCCAGCATATATTGATGACTGATTACGACCTTACAATCCCATATGTAGACTTCGATCCAGTAATATGAATCTTCTCAGAGAACTTAGGTCATTTCATTCATGGGAGATTGCTCTTTTTCATGCGCTGCACCTTGGCTTTGGAACAATCTACCGGCATGGCCATGATTTTCTCCTTTCTCCTGCAGTTTAGGAAGGATCTGAAGACTCATCTCTTCAATGAGGTATTTAATTAATTTCATTGTACTAGCGCCTTGAGCACCTTGTTGGATCTGTGTGCTCTATAAATCGTCATTATTAATATTATTATTTGAGAATCTTCACCAGTGTCTTGCAAAGAAAAAACATATCAAATACAAATCAAACATAGCAATCTGTTGTACTATAAAAAATACAATGTATATCCCAGGACAACTTAAAAAGTTCTGACAAGCTTACTTCAATTAAGGATCCAACTTCAGATCCAAGCTTGCAGCTAAGTAATGTGAGGGCCGTAACGGGAGTGGTTTTTTTAGGATAAGGAAGTGCCGAGAGGCTAGAGACTGGTCAAGACAAGGGGAGGACTTCAGGAGCAAAGAAGTCCTCATTATCCAACTTAAGGAGGACATGACGTAATCCCATAGAAATTAAAAGTGGAGTGAACCAACCTGCCCTTGTCACTTCCCCAGCAATTACATGTACATGTTAGTGTGTACTGGATGACTACTGTGATATGCCTGCATATCAGATTTTATGCACAAATGCAGCAGAAATACCAATACTGAATTGAAAGGAGTGCAATGGTAAGAATAATTTTGTGAGGTGACAGACTAAATAGTAGTTGGAATTGAGAGGGAACACACAAATTAAGAATGAAAAAGACCAAGGAATATAATACAATACGGTTCCCAGGAGCCTGTCTCCGGGGAACCCCCTTTGGGCCAGAGGGGTGAGAGCATTCATGATACCAGCGGAGTTGCTTATGCTGCGTGTGCGGCTTTGGTCCATTCCCAACAACGGCTCCACCCCAGCCAATCAGACAGTGTCACTCTGGCTGGTTGTTTTGGCGCGTTTGCCACACTTCTCCTCTTTCGCCGAGCGCGTACAACTTGTAATAAAAAACGCTTGCCAGTTTCTACCTGTTATCTCCGGTAATTCGTCACCTCCGCGGCCGTATTATCATGGGAGGCCGAGGGAAGAAAAGGAAGCATCAGGAAGACCAAGCTGGAAGCAAGAAGCCTCTGCCTTCGAGCCAAACCAGGGCCCAGTCTCGAGCTTTGCGGAGTCTGCTCGACCCACTATCCGGCACATCGCGACAGGCGCCGGAGCTGTGCTCAAGCACAAGTAGCATCAGTGATGCGTCGCGACAGCGCCCCCAAGTGGCGGCTAGTTCGGCCATGGCAGCTTCCACGATGGCGCCGGACTGCACTCTCACAACTGCTCCGTTGCCTCCGGTGAATGTGATCCCAACAGGGAGCTTGCCACTTCCAAGCGAGGGACAGATACTTTCAGTGCCCCCCAGCCTTCCGAGCCGCCCAGCCGGCGCGGTGGTGGGACCACCTCCAGCCACAGGATCAGCAACCACTTCCAGCTGCAGCACTCAATCGTCGTCCAACAACGGCGGCGGTGGCAGCGGC